ATCACTTTACCCGAACGCTCAGTGTTCTCACCAGTGCCAGGGTTTTCATGCGACGCCAGCCAATACCCCCACTTTGTGGGGGGGCAGTGCAAGCTCTACCAAATATCCACACGACTCTTCGCCACCACCCACACCCAGCTTCCCGCCCTATGACGTTCGGACACTTCACTTCGTGGCCTGCGGACGACCGTGGCTACTACACTGGCGTGGAGTACACACCCACAGAAGTTGTTAAGCCTACGTTCGTACACCCACAGGAGTTGTTAAGCCTTGTTAACCCACAGAAGTTGTTAAGCCTTCAACTCGGCGGCCGAGGGCGCAACCTATGGCGCAACCGCAAGGGATTGTGGCCCCTGGCAGGCGCGCGAACCCCGTTGCAAGAGCGTGCGAAAGTAGCTCGCGCGAGCTCATGTAACATAAATGTTGGAAAACCATTGGTTTTTTTAGGATTCGGACAGCGCGCGCGGGTAGAAATTTTGAAAAGTCGTGCAGGTGTTTTTCGAGGACCTACGGTGCGATTCGTGTGATTTTATGATGCGCGGTGCTAAAATTCTTAAGAAGCCCAATGGTTTTTGGAGATTTCGGCGTGCGCGCGCGAAGAAAAAACGAATGTGTCCCGCATGGTATTATTTGACAGGGATGATGGCCCTGGCAGGTGCGCAACCGTTGTCGCAGAAGTTCGAAAAAGTTGCTCGCAAAAGCCCGTTTGACAGAAATGTTTAAAAAGTGTTGGGTTTCCTACGAATCCGCAAGAGCGCGCGGGATGAGATTTTGACATTTTTTTGTTGAAAAACCATTGGTTTTTTGATGTTTTTATGTTAAAATCGCTGCGAACACTAAGGTTTTGGAAGGATTTCGTCTTGCGCGCGCGAATGTCCACTTTACCTTATTTTTTGCAAGGGATTCTTGAAATTTGATTATATTAGAACAAGAAATGTCATTTTCTATTGTTTTTTGCAAGGGAAAGCGGATTACAACAAAACAACCGGATCCTGTACACACCCTCTTTTCTGAGGCTTCCTCACGAAAATGATGAAAATGTAGCTGCGGCCTAGGCGGCGCAGGGGGGGCGCGCACCAGGGGGCCCAACAATAATTATTCTTTAGAATAAATAATGTTCAACAGCAACAGCAGCAGCAGCAACAACAACAAGCCAACAACAAAACAAACAATATTAGGAGGAGGAGGAGGAGGAGGAGGAGCAGGAGGAGGAGGAGGGGGAGCCACAACAAAAAGGTGAGGAGGAAAAGGGGGAGGAGGGTAAGGGGCAGGAGGAGGAGGACATTGGGGCAGGGAGGAAGAGGAGAAGGACGACGACGACGACGAGCATGAGGACGAGCAGGAGGAGGAGGAGGAGGAGGAGGAGGACGAGGAGGAGGAGCGAGATAGAGAGAGGGAGGAAGAAAGAGGAAGAGAGAGAGTTCGTGGGGCCCTGTTGCGGCGGACTTCTTGGGTGCCTTCTTGATCCCCCTTCACGCGGGCCATCTCGAAGCCCTCCGGGGCCTTGTTGGGGCCCTCTTGGGCCGCCCTGGTTCTCGTGGGCTGTCGTGGAGACCCCATGAAATCTCCGGCCGAGAAGCGTGGGAAATAAGCAGCGTCATTTAACTGTCACTTCACTGCGGTTTAATTGTACCAGCTGAGACGCGACGACACATGGTGGGAGTTGTGGTGTTTCATGCTCATTGTTCTTTGTTTGTTTGTTGTTTTGTCTGTCAGTCTGTCAGTCTGTCAGTCTGTCAGACCGACCGTCTGTCTGCCTGTCTCCCTGTCTGTCTGTCTGTCTGTCTGTCTGTCTGTCTGTCTGTCTGTCTCTGTGTGTGTGTGTTTGTTTGTGTGCTTGTCTGCTTGTTTGGTTGTTCATGTGTTTGTCTTTTGAACAACGAAGACACAAAACGTGAGAAAGAAAACGACGTCAAGCAAACATCCCGTCCTCTGACGATCTGGGCTGGCCGGGGCCTCCTGAGGCTCCTGGAGCTGCTCTCGGGAAGCGTGGGACTCGAGTTCGGCGGAGGTCCGATTTGGAGCATTTGTGCTGACGGTCCTGGGATGAGCTTTGACGGCAATGATCTCGTGAGATGTTGGTAGCGGGGGGACGCGTCAAATTTCAGGCAAGGCCCCCGCCATTTTTCTGACGTCTCACGTCTCCGCGGTGCTTGATTGTGTCGTCTTTGCCACGTGGCCCTCTTGGGCCATCCGGGCGGCACCCCTGTGCCCTCCAGGGCCGGCCGGCATCGAGGTGCCTGTGCGCTCCTTGACCACCCCCGAGCCCTGTACGTGTCGGACGGGGCCAGGACGAGGATAAGTCCGTTCCTGAGCGTTCCGGCACGCTCTCAGAGCGTTAGCGTTCCGAAACGCTCTGAGCAGGCCGCGGCGCCCGATACATCCTCTCAGAGATTCCCGATGTTTATCCTCACCCGAATTCGTCCTCGTCCTGGCTTCGTCGGAGAACTTGTGTGTGGCGGTGTGCTCTCCCTTGGCGGAGTCCTGCCATCCTGCACCGCCGGGTGGAATGGACGCTGATCCGGAGGGGAAATAACACGCAGACGCCATGAATCGGCGATTCCCCCGAAGATGTGGGAAAATATGGGAAGTGGGGGGGGGGAGACAAAGACCCAGAAAAGATTTGAAAATACGGGGGATCGTGTTGTTCGCGTCTATCTGTTTGCGTGTCCCAGGGCCCCTTCAGCTGAGCGTGCCCCGCCGTGGCTCTCGCTGCAGTGCCGTCACTGCTCGGCCGCTGGAGCCAAGGCGTGTGGCACTGCTCGGCCGTGTGGGTCCCGAGGGGCGCCTCCGCACCGTTCGCTCGGCCCTTCCCTGGGGGCCCCGGCTCGCGGCCCGAACCTTCCCAGAGCCAGCCCGGACAGCGAGGGTGCGCGACGTTCCAAGGCCACCCCTGGCGTCCTTCCCCTTCGGCCTTCGGCCCATCCTGGGCCGCCCTCGCCGGCCGCACCCCGCTCGCAAAGGTTCGACGTGGCTTCCTCCGTCTCTCCTCCGTATGAGCAGCTCTTCCCTGTCGCACCACCGGGCGAGTTGAAAAGGCCGGGCAGGGCGTTTCGCTCGGGAGTCCCTCGCGGCCTGCCATCGCTAATCTTGGAGCGATGGGCGGAGGGCGGCACCTCTGCTTGTGGCAGTTGCGCGCTAGCGCTACTCACAATCGTTTGTAAAGCTTCTAACGGTTACCCGTGTGGAAGGCGGTGCCTTTTCGAGCCGTGGTTTTCGCGTCAGCGCCGCGCACAATCGTGTCACACTCTTCCAACACATATTGATTACACGGACGGATGCCGCTACTTTTTCGGAATGTGGCTCTCACCCTGGCGCCGTGCACCGTCGTCTGATCAGTTCCCAACAGCTTCACGGATGGAGGTTGGCACCTTCTCATGGTGAGATTGTCGTTTGAGACTTCCTCAGTACACATGACCACACGTGTAAGAGATGTGCAACGGCCACACGAATCGAGGGCGATTCCTTTTCAACATGGGACTTTCGCTTGAGATGCTGTTGAGTTTCGACCAGAAGCTGGAACGTGTGCAATTGCCACTCGGATGGAGGGCGGTTCCTCTTCCAAGTTGGGTCGTCGTTGGGCACGGTAGGTTCGCGTCGTGTCGACTGGCGGTGACCCTGCCGCCGGCGTTCAATGTTGAACCCCGCCAGCGACCACGAATCGGTCGATTTTTAACGATCGGAAGCGGCCGATTTTAAGGTTGACTGATCTCCGCGGTGTCAGACACCAACGCCGAAGCCGGCACGACACGAATCTGCCGTACATCGTTGGACTTCAATCCGCCCTGTCGCAGTCCTTAAAGCTCGCAGGACGGACGGCGGTGCCTTTTCCACACGGAGCTCCCGTATGAACTTGCGGGTCCGCGGGTCTGCATTCCTGAATTTCGGCCAGAAGCTGGAACGTGTGCAGCAGCCACTCGGATGGACGGTGGTGCCTTTTCCAAGTCGGGTCGTCGCTGGGTACCCAGACCCCCGACGTCGTGATTTTTTCACAACGTGAACCCCCTGAGGCTCTGAGGTTTGGACCCCTTCCCCGGGACCCGTTTTTCATCCTGAGTCGTTTTTTGTCGGTCCTGGTGCCCGGTAAGGGCCCCCAGAGGCCGAAATTAGCAAACAAATTTCCGTCGTGATTTTGTTCAAACCGCGAGGGGGGTTGGGTATATCGTTGGGCCGACTGCACCGACATTCACGCATAAGCTAGTTCGCGCGTAGGCGCCCTCGCTTCCTATGTGGTGTGCCAGGGTGCTATGCCACCTTGCGTAAGACCCGCTTCTTTTCGTCGCTCACATGCTGGCGTTGCTCTGGTCATCCCCCTCCTCCTCCTTTTCCTCCCGCTCCTCCTCTGTCCCAGAACACCGACGGCGTGAGACTGTCACAACCTCGACCCCCACAGGTCTGGACCTCTTCTTCCCCTGGGTGCTATTTCATCCCAGGCCGTTTTTGTTGATGGTCGCGGCCCGCGGAAGGCCCCGAGAGACGGAACATGTGCAACAAAAACCGTCCGTCCGAGGAGGTGGTGGCCATTTACTCCTCCAAAAAAATTAGCCTGGCGAAGGACCCTACCATATGCAGTTGGGAGTGCCGCACTTGTGAGGACCGTCTTCGGTGGAGCTCCCCGTGGGGCCACGAACCTGTTAAGGGGTGTGGGGCCTTCGGTGGAGCTCCCTGTGGGTCACGAACCTTTTAAGGGGTGCGCCGACATGAGGGTGGAACTGCATGCGAACGCTGCCGCTGGGGCCTTCGGTGGAGCTCCCTATGGGGCCACGAACCCTGTGAGGGGTATGCCGAAGTGGGATGGGCATGCGGAGAGCAGAGGCAAGGATGGGAAGCAGGAGAGAGGAGGAGGAGGAGGAGGAGGCGGGAGGGACGTGGGGCGCTGTCTCTTCAAAACGAGGACCCAACACCACAGGATGGTTGGAAAAAAACCCAGAGGGGCAGGTGGGGTCGGCAGACATCTCCCCTGCGCCAGTGCCCGACGGGGGGCCGTGCGGACCATCGAGGAGAAGGTTAGCGCTGGAATAATGAGAACAACCGACACCAACGGGAGCAAGAAATATCGGCGGCTCAATGACGAGGCCCTGAGCCTGAGGGACCCAGACCCCCTCGCGCTATGAAAAAAGAAGACGTGTTTTGGGTTGTGTTCAGCCTCTGGGTGCCCTCGCCCAGCCCCGGGTCCGTCAAACGAAGACTCTGTATAAAAAACCGGTGCAAGGGAATGGGCCGGGACCTCTTGGATATCGACACTACGAACAAGTCATGACGTCGGGGAGAGCATGCTACGCATGGAATGAATTCAATGAAAATCAATTGCAGTGGATCCGTGAGTGGATCAATCTTGATTGATGAGGCTATGATGCCTCTTTTGATTTTGAGCCGGCTATGATGCCCGCTCGTGCCCACCCCGTCCCGTCTTCAGGGACTTCGCATCCCCCTATGATGGTAGGATGGGAAGACGGGCCGCCGCCCCTGGCACTGCACGTACGGTGCCAGGTTTGTGGGGATTTGGTTCGACCCCCGCAGTTCCAATGATGGAAACTGCGAGGGGTGTGAGGCCTCATGGTGGTCCTCACTGGTAAGGCCTATGATGGTCCTCACGGGGGGGGGAGAGGGCAATGGCGGACGTCCACCAACAACGTTCGTCGTGCTCATCCTCCATGAGGTCGAGGTGCTGCCCGCACTGCCTGTACCGCGGCTCCGATGGGGTGGAGACCAGGAGGAGGAGAAGGAGGAGGAGGACGACGACGAGAAAGTTGGGTTCAATGAACAAATTGAGTGCGAAGGCCTATGATGGTCCTTCTTCCCAAAACGAGCCTTGCTGCTGGCCCCGAATTGGGTGCGAGGTGCCTATGATGGCCCCTCTGGTTGCCTATGATGGCGGCACTAGACGACCGGCAGGGGACTTGGTCCCGTTCACGGTCCATTAGGGGAGAGCATGCTACGCATGGAATGAATGCAATGAAAATCCATTGCATGGGGCATTAGGGGATGGGGCCCTGGGGACCGAGCGTTCCGGAACGCTTTGAGAGGACTGCGGCGCCCGAGACATCCTCCAGAGCCGCCGGATCTCAGAGAGCTCAGAGATTCTCGTTGTACCCCAACCCAATGTTATCGTCGTCCTGGCCCCGTCCTTCTCAGCATGGGGGAAGCGGGTCCCGAGGGAAGCGGGTCCTGCCTGGACCCAGGGGCCCTCCCCCAGGACGGGCTTTCCATCCCGAGTCGTTTTCTGACGGTCCCGGGGCCCGTGGAGGGCCCCGAGGGCTCGGAAACGGCGAAAATCCTCAGGACCCGTTTCCCGCAGGACCCCTGGCGTCCTGGCTTCGTGCTTGCCCCGAGGGCGGGAGAGAGGCCCCCGGCGGAGCCTTCGCCACTCGAGGGGTCGCTCGCCCTCGTGGGCCGCCGAAGCCCCCAGCCAGCGGCTTGGACTTGTCAAAGCTGTCGGAGGCCCCGCGCGCGCTCGCGCCGGGGAGGGGGGGGGGGCACAGGGCCGATGCGCGGAAAAGTCGCGCGGAGCTCCTCCTCCTCCTCCTCCTCCTCCTCCTCCTCCTCCTCCTCCTCCTCCTCTCCTCCTCCTCCTCCTCCTCCTCCTCCTCCTCCTCCCTTCTCCTCCTCCCTTCTCTCCTCCTCCTCCTCCTCCTCCTCCTCCTCCTCCTCCTCCTCCTCCTCCTCCTCCTCCTCCTCCGGACCGACAGTTCGGGACACGATAAAGATGCTTGACCAGACGCGCAGTATCCCAGTATTCCAGTAAGCAGTGCTGGCACACCGACCCCGTGGCGAGCAAAGAGGGAGCGTCAGGGGCCTTATGGTATTTCCCCCTGTGCGCCCTTAACTGACGCTGGGACGGAGCGGAAAAACCGCACTCGTAGCACACATAGAGCCGCTGGGCACCCACGGGTGGCGGGGCCAAGGGGGTACCCTCCGTGATGGAGGCAAGCTTTTTGATCCATACCTTCGGGCGACGCTCGTCCCTCCACAGGGCGGACGCGCGAGCTTGCAGTCGGACCGGGATAGAAGGTCGAGGTCGGTTCGGGGAGGGTGCCCTAAGGTTCCTCGTGTATGCTGGATGGCCTGGTGCATCCAGGGGGAGGGCGCCCTCGAATGTACTTCAGTCTGGCCGGCGGAGGGCTTCATGTGCTCGAAGGATGTTATTATGTCCCAGGTCCGACTGCAGGGCCCCGGAACTCCTTGCTTTGGTTTCCTCTATCGGGGCCCCAGCCCTCGGGGCCCCAGCTGTTGAGCCGCCGAAGAGACCCAGATCCCGCGGTCATGGTGCACATGTTCACGGTCGCGGGCAGGTTCGCGCAGAAGCAGGGCGACCCTCCAGACGCCGGGGACGGGCCCCCTCCGAAGAGCAGCGGGGGGCAGCCAGACGACGACGCGCCAGGATCGCCAGGAAGCGAGCGGGTCCTGCGGCTGGCGTTGGGAAGACGGCGTGAGATGTGGCGCCGCTTGCCCATTTTGGGGGGCCCTGGGGAGACCTCGCTCCTCCTCGCTCCTCCTCGCCCCTCCTCGCTCCTCCGCCGCCGCCGCCGCCGCCTCCTCCTCCTCCTGCTCCCTCCTTTTCCTCCCTCCTCCCTCCCCCTCTTCTTCTTCTTCTTCTTCTTCTTTTTCTTCTTCTTCTTCCTCCTCCTCCTCCTCCTCCTCCTCCTCCTCATCTTCCTTCCATAACAATTTTGATTCAAGGCAAAATGGCATTCCATTCACTGCCTTCGCGGGGTAGGCTCCCAAGCGATCCAGCATCCAGACGTTTGCCGCCACATTCACGGGCTAGCGGCCGCCCCTCCATATTGGCGCCCTCGCTGTGCAAGCTGCTGACTACCGTCGCGCTGTGCTGCACGGAGCTCTTCATAACCCTGGCTCTTGAGCCAAGCTGCCACGTTCAGCGACCGCATCCTGGACCTGTGCCTCAGCCGCCACGTTCTGGACCAGAATCTCTGCAGGTGCTTGGCTTCCAGCGCCCGCGACCACTACGACCAGCTACTTCGACATCATGTCGGCCGCCTCCTCAGACCGAAGCCAGTTTGCATCGAACGGATCTACGTCCCGCAGCAGACGCGGAGACCGCCAGCGTCGCCGTGACGAGCCTCGCCGTCCCGAACGTGGTGACGACCGCCAACCCCGCAGTGAAGAGCCTCGCCGTGACGGTCGACGTGCAGCTCGCGAACATGTCTGGCAGCTCGGCAACACGGATTTCAGCAGCCAAGGCATCGCGGGTGCTCCCTCACGCGTTACTGGCCGAAGCTCTGCGAGACCGCCGCCATCCTCAGCGCGATCTCCAGCCAGATCAGGAGGCCGTGCCGCTGCCGAAGCCGCCCCCGTGACCATGGAAGATGAAGATCTGCCACCGTCTGGTCATCCTCCTGCTGACCCGCTCCTGGGCGCCGCCGACCCCTGGGCCAACAACAGGTTCGGCTCACAGCTCGCGCGTGACATCGACCTGCCACCCACCTTTCCATCTCAAGAGCTCGCCGCCGCACAAGCCGCACAAGCCGCACCAGTTCCTGGGCTCGCCGCACCTCGTCCAGAGCAGCATCCTACCCTTGCTGTGCGAAACGAGCCGTTTCCTGGAATTCCTGAAGATCTCGACGTCGCCCTTCGTGAACGTATGCAGCGACCGGTCGCTACAGCCCGTACTCGCTTTCAGGTTCAAGCCGACCAGCTACTCGCCGAATCTCGTGAAAGTTTCAGACATCTCGTTCAACGACAAGTCACCGCTGCCGGACGCAGAGTTGACGTTCTACATGACGAAGTTGCCCGTACTCGCAGAGAACAAGGCCGCCGAGCTGCTGAACATCAACGCATGTGGCAACGCATCGACCAGATGCGCGACACGCTCGTCCTCGCCGAAGCCCAGACGCCGATCACCGACCTCAGCCGCCTTGCCAGATGGGACAGACAGCCCGACCCGACGCTCTTCACGATCGGAAGCCAACGCCCCATCGCGCCAGACCTGCTGCTCAACGACCTGCAGGAGTGGATCGCCGCCGCCAACTTACAGTCAAACCATGTCGAACTTCTCGGTGGCGAACCTGCTCGCCGCTTCATATTACAAGTCAAAGGAGATCAAGCTGTCGCAGTGCCTCGCGCCCCTTCTTTATCACGTACCCACCGAGACGCCGCTGGGAAGTGGGGAAGATTTACATCGAAAGACGTTACTGGACAGCACTGCGACATATACCTCCACCCCGACAAGTCGCCCAGGCAGATCCGTACCGAAGTTCAAACAAAGAAACTACCCCAGCTCATGCAGCAACGATACCCGAGAATGAGATGGAGAGCGTTCAGGAACAAAGGCGAAATACACGCTGACTCGATGCCCATTGTCAGAATCACTGTCAGAGGTTAAGCCGATCCGTCCATTCCCCAGTGGAACGACCAGGCCGCCGACCACCCGCAGTTCCAGCGCATCGAACGCGGCAACATCGCCACTTCCTTCCAAACGCTCTTTACTGACGTGGAGACGGCCACGTGGCGCCACTAACCATCACTGGACTCCGCGGAGGGTTGGCGACGCCACCGAGCCGACCATTATCGCCACGTGGAACGCCAGAGCCTTCACGTGCTACAAGAGCAAGCGCCGCCGTCGCAAGCAGGCCGCCCTTGCGAAGTATATGAAGCGCAACTGCGTCATCACACTGCAGGAGGTCCACGGCTCGGAGGCTCTGCTCCGCACCTGGATCGACGCGCAGCCGTGCCCCTGCATGCTCTTCTTCTTCTTCTTCTTCTTGGAGTTCTCGCACGAGGACGGCGACAACCCGAATGCCACGGGCGGCGTCGCCACGCTCATCCCCTGGTTTACCCCGATGGAGCTCGAGCAGCCGCAGCCGAACCAGCTCCCGCTATTCGCTCATGAAGAACTCGTTCCTGGTCGCGTCCAGCTGGTGGCCGTCGCGCACGCCGTCGCGCGTGCCACCCTGGTCCTTATGGGCGCGAGAAGTCACGAGATCGCCGACGCCGACCGCCGCAGGGTCCTGCAGGCCCGGGAGCTGCATCGCACTTGGGCGGAATCTAACTACCGCATGCGCACCTCCATCGCGATCTGGGACTTCAACGTAGCCAGCCGCCCGCCGCAGAGCCTCCTGCAGCCGCAGCCGCAGCGCGCCGGGCTGCGCTGGGCAACAGCATGCGCCAGCAGCAGCCCTTCTGGAAATCCCTCTTCGACTCCATGCTTGAGATCGAGGCCGAGCTCCCCGCGCGCTTCAACCGCTGGGACTTCGCCGCCGCGACCATCGACCGCATCTTCATCAGCCTGCCCTCGCACGCCACCCAGGAGCTCTCGGCCCACGCGAACGCGGCGCACGACGCCGCGCAGCTCCCGGACAATCGCCTGAGCGACCACGCCATCATGACTTTCTCCATCGGCATCAAGCCGCGCACCCCTCAGGGCGAGCAGGCCATCCACCCTTCGATCTTCCGCGACCCGAATTACGCCATCTACTTCCAGAAGCTCCTTGACGCCACCAACTTCGACGACGCCTCGCTGGACAGCCGCTGGCGCACCCACGCGCGCCTCATGACGGAGGCCGCTCAGCTGGTTCGCGACGATTGGGTCCGCCGGGCGACCGGCGACACCAACCGGACAGGCTTCCTGGCAGGCAGGGTATACACGACGCGCTCCATCTCGCGAGCCGTTCGGCGCCAAGACCTTCAATTGGCCCGCAGAGTTGCCTCCGCAACCGCGCTCGGCGCCATGTTCGTCAACATTTCCGACGGCAACCATCGCGATTAACGAGCCAGCCATCTTCGCCAGCCTCGCTTCGCAGCTGAGCCGCGACTTCGAGGCGCGGCAACTCTCTCTCGCGCAGCAAGCCGCACAGCGCCCTCAGGGGCGCGCTGGCGCCCTGGGCCTTGAGAAACTCCGCAAGGTCCTTCGGACCGCCCAGCGTCGGGCTCTCCTCTGGTCTCCCTGGAAGCGCCGCCTCGCCCTCCAGGGGATCAAGGTCGCGGGCCCAGACGGGCCCAAGATAGCGAGAGGGAGAGAGAGAGAGAGAGAGAGAGAGAGAGAGAGAGAGAGAGAGAGAGAGAGAGAGAGAGAGAGAGAGAGAGAGAGAGAGAGAGTGGCTCTATGGTCACCGCCCAGCGCGACCACTGGCAGCCCGTCTTCGCCGCCAAGCCCGTCGACGAGACCAAGGTCACCAACTACATCCACGCGCGCGCGCCGAAGGGCGAGGTCCTGGACATTGGGGCCCCCGCGAAGCCGCAGACCAAGGCCTTCCTGCAGCGCACTTCGCCGTCAATACCAGGGCCCGACTGCTTGCCGTGCTCCGCCTGGCTCGCGCGCGATGCCTCGCTGACCCTGCTGGAGGACGTGTCGTTCTTCCTCTGTTCTGGCCAGTGCGACATCCGCGACTTGAACAATTCCGACTTCGCCTTCCTGCCGAAGGGCGACAACGCCGTTGGCGAACTCACAACAGACCGAGCTCCTGAAGATGCCCGACCGCTCTCGCTGAAGAACACGGACATAACGGCCATCGCTGGGGCAGCCAACTACCTCATCAAGGGCGTTGCGGCAGAGCGCACCCACATAGCACAACAGGACTTCGTGCAGAAGCGCAACTTCACCAAGCACATCGTTCGCTTCGACTCTGAGATGCGGCGCGCAGGTCTACTCCCTGGAGCTCTTCAAGCCAAGCCCGTCTTCGCGAGCTTCAACTTCTTTGCCGCTTTCCCGTCCTTGGGGCGGGTTTGGCTCTTCGCTGCGCTGGAGCACTTCGGGATCCCGACCGGCCTCGTGAACCTCTTCCGCGCGCTGTATTTTGCGCCGAACAGCTACATCAAAATCGACGGCGTCAGGCACACCACGTTCGCCATAGAGTCTGGAGTTGCGCAGGGCTGTCCTGCTTCGGGCTCGGCCTGGGCCATCGCCATGGACCCGCTCATCCGCCACCTCGCCACGTTTGTGGAGCACCACGACGGCGCGCCGAATCTGGACGCCGGCTACCTCGGCGCCTGCGCGGACGACATCGGGCTGCTGATATACTCCTTCGTCACGCTGCGCCGCGCATCTGAGCCCTCTGCCGCAGCCGAGGAGCTTGCGCTCCTCTCGCTTAAGCCTCGCAAGTGTTTCATCGTTCCGCTCTTGGCCGCGGCGACCCCAGACACCATTGCCCAAACCAAAACCTTGTTGGCCGAGCTCGGACCTTCCAAGGGTGGTTTCTCGGTTGCGGGCTGTGCCAAATACCTCGGCACGTTCCTTGGCCCCGAGGCCTCGCTGGCTTCGCAGTGGCTCGCACCAGGGCAAGAATGGTGGCAACGGGGAAATCTTCTACACCTAATGCAGGGTGGTAGTGACGCCACAGTTCGCCTATATCATACCTCAGTCCTGCCAACGCTCAGCTACGTCGCCCAGTTCTTCCCGCTTCAGCCGTTGATCGCGCGCCGCGAACAGTATGTTTTCCATGAGATGCTTAGCTGGCCGCCGAACTCACTTCGCAAAGTTGATTTTATAGCCATGGCGTGGTGGAGCCCGCCTCCTGTCCCACAGTCCGCTCAGGTCACATCTGTCGCTGCCGCTGCCCGCTCCGCTGCCGTCGCTCTCGCGGGTGACTGGGGGCCGTTTGCCGATCGCCTCGCCGACACATCATGGGAGGAAGCTTCCCTGCAGAACGCGCCTTGCTGGCAGGCTGGCGCGTGGTCGCCCGCTTTCTGGTCGTCTCAGCGGTCCATCGCACAGTGCGATCGTCCCCTCCTCGGAGCCCAGCCTCAGAAGCCGTTCGCCCGCCCAGCCGTCTTGGCCGCTTTGCGCGCCGCTCGCCTCGAACAGCGCGAGGCCGCAGCTGCCGTCGCGCCGCGTCGCCCGAAATGCCAGCGCACGTTTGCACGCCAGCGTGCAAAGCAAACTTTCGCCTCGCCGTTGACCGTCGCTCTGCTCAAACGCATCTCGGCCTGGGGCCCCCAGGCGCCGACGGCGCCAGGAGAGCTACAAAAGCGCTGGTCAGCGCTCACGGAGTCGCTCAACACGGTGCGCCCCAGCTGGCGCTGGGCCACTTTTAAGACACTCAGCGGTGGCTGGACTGCCACTGGCCGCATGCACGTGCTCGCCCCAAAACAATGCGTTTTCGGGTGCGGGAGCCAGCCTGGGCCATCTCACCACTACCTCACCTGCCCCTCGCTGTCGAGCCTCCTCTGGTCCCCTGATCCCCCCCCCTCCTCCGCTCGACGCTCGCAGCCTGGGGCCTTGGGCCCGCAGCTGCGTGCACGCCCGAGAATCAGAATCCGCTTTCGTTGCGCCCGACGGTTGAGCGCATCACGTTAGCGTTTCACATCTATAACAAAATGAAGCATCACTCTGACCCGAGCTCACGCCCTGCGACGATGGCCGCAGCGAGCCGAGCTGCCAAAGCACTACTCTATAGGTGAGAGAGCTAGCGACGGGCGCTGCGGACGAACATCATTTGCCCTCGTCTCGCTTCGTGCCCGATTGCCCTCTTCTCGTCCTCTTTCAGGGTACACTAACTCCTCCTCATATTCCTCCTCCTTTTCCTTCAACCCTCCAAGCAGCGCGCTAGTTCCTCCTGTCCTCCTCCTCCTCCTCCTCCTCCTTTTCCCCCTCTTCCCCCTCCTCCTCCTCCTCCTCCTCCTCCTCCTCCTCCTCCTCCTCCTCCTCCTCCTCCTCCTCCTTCCTCCTCCCTCCTCCTCCATCCCCGCCGGCATGGCATTGGCCCCGCTAGCCGAAGAAGTCAGCCCGCTAGCGGCCAGCGTGCCCCGAAGAAGCCTTGGGGAAGAGATCGGGACCTCGATTGGGTGGGGGGGGGCCATGTTGTGAGAAATCAAGACGCCGCCGGAGGTCGGGGCCCACCTCCACATCCTCCTCGTGCCTCCTCGATCCTCCTCCTCCTCCCGATCCTCCTCCCCCTCGGACCTCCTCCTCGGTCCTCCTCCTGCTCCTCTGTCCTCCTCCTCCTCTCCTCTTCCTCCTCCTCCTTCTCCTCCTCTTCCTCCTCCTCGGTCCCCCACCTTGGGGATAGCGCGCACAAAATGGGCGTTTGCAGGGGGATCGCCTCACGGGGAGAGCGTGCGTTTCGGAGACTGGTCTTGAACGCTTTCTTCCCGACGCCAACCGTAAGGGACAACGGGGTCCTGGAGGTCCCTGGTCGCTGTCATGCTTTGGCGGTCCTCGTCAGGCCCTGCTGGGACTGCCAGAACTCGGCGGCGAGCGAGGGGGGGAAGTGAGAAGGAGGAGGCCTGCTGAGAAGGCGGCGGGGCTTTTCAGAAGCCCTCTGGCCTTCTGAAAATTGTTCGGTGTCTTCGGGGAAGGTTTAGAAACCTTCTCAGAAGGTCGGGGGGATTTCCGAGGCTTCTGAGAAGGCCCGCCCCTTCTCATTTACCTCCCGGGCTGGCCGCCGACAAACACGGCTCGGGATGAAGAGAGGTCCCAGGGTCCAGGACCCGGGGGCTTTCAGGACCCGCCCGCTCAACCCGCCGCAAGGAGACGAGCCCATCGAGCAGGAAGGCCCCATCGAGCAAGAGGACACCGCCGAGCAGGAGGAGGACCTCGCTCCTGAGGAGGAGGGCGTCGTCGGCGAGGGGGACCTGGTTCCCAAGAAGAAGAGAGCGCGGAGAGGATCGGAGGGCGTCGTCTAAACGTAAACCTGTGTATACCGATCATTGTTCTTTAACATGTACAAGTTATTTAGTGATATGTATGTATGTATGTTTGCATGCATTCACACGTGCGTGCATGTATATATATAAGTATGTATATATGTATGTATGCATGTATGTGTGTGTTTGGTTGATTGCTCGTTCGTTGTTCTTGTGTGTTTAAGTATGTATGCATGTGTGTATGCATGTATGTGCGTACGTGTGTATGTATGTACGTACGTACGTGTGCATGTCTGTATGTATGTCTGACTGTATGTATATAAAGACAACTTCACACGTATATGCACACATTTATACACATACATGTATAAGTACGCCAAATCCGGCCAGGCCAGCCCCCCCCCCCTGGAAGATATATCTAAACATGTATGTTGCTTGTCCACTTCCCCAGCGGCAGCTGCATTCGGAAGGCCCGCACGGTATCTAAAATCCCTCCGTGGACCATATGTATTTTACAGCGCTTTCCCGAAGAAAATTAGATACGAAAACCTATCTTTCGAACGTAGCACCTCGCTCGCACATCCCATTCATCCCTCCTCCTCTCCTCCTCCTCCTCCTCCTCCTCCTCCTCCTCCTCCTCCTCTTCCTCCTCCTCCTTTTCCTCCTCCTTCTCCTTCTCCTCCTCGTCCTCCTCCTCCTCCCCCTCCTGTCCCTCCTCCTGCTCTTGCTACCTCTTATCCCCGCCGCGATCGCCCCGCAGGCGTCCTGCAGCTTCTCGGCCTACAAGGACGCGCGCGCGCGGTTCCGTCGGCCGAGCTCCCCCTGGCGCATGCAAGCGGCCCTCGAGTTCCTCGCACAAGGACCCGGGGTGCTTGCTTACCAGCGCCTGCGGGGCGTGCTCTACGAGCGCCTCGTTGGCCATCCCCTTCCGTGGGACGAGGGTTCGCCCCCTGCGGGCAGCTCTTGGATCCTCGGCTGGGGCCCTGGGGGCGGGGGAGGGGGCACGTGCCCTTCCCAGCCCCCTGGGCATCCGCCGCCCGCCGTCTGCCTCGGGCTGGCGGTGGACTTGAGCAGTGGGCTGACGCCCCTCCTGCTCTCTAGCGTGGTCGCCGCATTGGTGGCCACCGCAGCTTGCTGCTGTTGCGGCGGCTGCTGCGTCGGAGCGCTTGCGCTCCGCTGCGGGCGCCATCGCGCCCCCCAGCCTCAGCCAGCAGTGCGCCTGGATCCTCTCAGAGCTCTTCCTGCTGCCCCCGTCTACGGGGAGCGCCGCGCGGAAGCGCGGGCCAGGGCGGCGGGCTACCGCCCTGACGCGCTTCCTCGCCCTGCTGGGGCCGAGGGGCGCTAGCTTCTCTTCTTCTGCCCTCGGGCAGCCCAGGCACTGCCTGGTCGGGGTGCGCCCCGTCGGGTCCCTCAGGGGCCTGTCTTATCTTCGCTTCTTGAATGGCTGCTGCCGTTGGCGGTGCCGACGCCGCCATTCCAGAGGGGCCCGTCTGGTCCGACCTCCACGCGTTCGACCCTCCCAGCGCCAACACTTACTCTCGATGGCGTCTGGGCGAATACGAGTACGCGTACGCAGCCATTCCTCTGGGGCGCCGCGAAGGCGGCATTTTGCTCGCCTTGCCCCTCGCCTTCAGGGATGCCGCTGCCCTCGGGGAAGCCGATGGAGGGGGTTACTCAGGCCTGCTAGGGCCTTACCAAGTGACGAGCGCGCCGCTTCTAGGGGCGGCGTCTCGGGCCCTCTCCACCACGGCAGAAATTCTGGTTATCGACCTCGAAGTGTCCGAACTCGAGCTCGGGTCGTTAGGGCCGATGCCTCCCGAGCCACCGCCCGACGGCGTCACTTACGTGCCGTTCGCCTCCAGCCGCGGTCGCGACTACTGGCTTCATCCGTCAGGCGTCCGACTGCTCGGGGACGGCCGGTTGCGCACTCGCGGGCCCGAGCTCGCCGCTGGCGAGGGGCCTCTTCCAGGTGCCTCTCGGGCGTCTCCGTGCCAGACGGCCGACGAGGGAGGTGCCGAGCTAGAGGCAGACTCGGAGCCCTTTCAGGGCGCCGAGGCCGAGGCCCCAGCTCCCCCTGCTGGCGCGGGGCGCGGTGCGCCGAAGCGCGCGAGTCGCGCCCTTCTCATCCCTCCCCCTGGCGCGGCCGCGCCCAGGCGGTCCGCGCGGGCGGCGGAGCCCGCGCTCGACGATCTGGGCGGAGTACCTCTGGCCCGCGCAGAGCTCCAGTCCGAGATTCGCGCAATGATGGCCGAGCAGGCCTCGAGGTTGCAGGGCCCGCCGCTCGGCGCTCCAGGGGCTGGCGTTCCTCCGCGGGCGGGCGCGCCCCAGCTCTTCGCGGACGAGGCCGCCCGCGTGGGTCTGCAGTTTTCCCCCGAGCAAGACGCGATGATGGACGAGATTTTAGGGGGAGCGCCCACTGTACCCAGCCGCGTTCAGCAGCGCCCCGCCCCCGCCTCTGCTCTGGTGGCGGCGTGGGGCCAGCCGCCCGGGGGCGCCTCGCCTCCCAAAGCATCCATGCCTCAGCTGCCGCCTGGCCTGGCCGCTCACGCGGGTGGCGCAGCCGCCGAGGCGGCCGCCGCGGTGTCGGAAGGGCGACCGGGAGGCCCCCCCCCCCGCGTCGGACCTGAGTCTAGCAGAGCAGCGCCTGCAGGCCTCGCTGCAGCAACAGCAGCGGGTCGCGCGGCCCACCGCTCACCCGCTCTTGGGACCGCTGAGCGAGGCAGCTCAGGATCTGCCGACCCACGGCGGAAGCGGCAGCGGAGGCATCGTCCAGCACCCAGGTATGCGAGGGATCGCGCGCCGTCGGGATTGGCAGAACACGCTGAACCAGCACGGGCCCGAGATCAGGGCATTGATGCGGTCGAACCTCGCAAGACCGCTGGGGGTCGACCCCGCGGACCTGATGCCTCACGCGATGTTCACACATTTTCGCAAGCGCAGCCCTTTGGGGGCCAACGCCGCTCTTCACCCTCTGCTCACCCACATGGCATGGCTCAGTGCCGAGCTCTGGCGCGCGGCAGAAGAGGGGCGAGCGGACCGAGTGCACACGTTGATCGCCTGCCAGTGCACGTTCGTAGATCAGACGGCAGGGGATCAGGGACGGCTGGAAGCGCCCTGGTTTCTGACGGGGCTGGAGGATCCCCCGACCAGGACGACCGCTCTACACGCGGGACGGGAGGTCCACCCCCCTTTCTCGGAGCTGGTGGACCCGCGATGGTTGTCCGCCCAGGGGGAGTACATGCGGGAGCTGCATGCGATTCGACAGCAGCTGGCTCCCTCGCAGCCGAAAGCTCCCAAGGCGGAGCCCAAGGTGCCCAAGACGCCCAAGAAGCCCCCGCCGCCCAATAAGTAGCGGCTGGGCCTGGTGCGCCTGCCCGCGGAGGGACGCGCTCGTGGGCGGCTGGCAAGACGCCCGCTGCCGCAGCGCGGCGCTTCTGGGCTGAGCGGCCTCACGGTGGTAGGCGCGGGGGGTCCCATCAGGGCCGTTACGACCTTGCAGAGGGCCCCGCGCGCCGCCATGGTGAGTCTCGCTCGGCCCCCGAGGCTCTTTCTGCTCATTCTGCCGTCTTCGGCTCTTCCTTGCCCAGCGTGCCGTCTGCGTCGGCTGCTGCGGGTCCGCCTCCCTTTGTGCTGGACCTGTCTGCCTTGCTGCGCCTCTTCCCTGGCGCCAACATCGACGCGTCCCGCTGGGCTGCTGCTCTTGCCCAGGCGGGGATGGGCAGTCGGTGCTCGCTGGCTTCTTTTACCCGCTCTTCTCTCTCCGCGTCGGCTCGGGGCTCCTCTTATGAGCGAGCGCCCCGCGATCCGTGGCCGTGTCCGCCTGCCCCAGCACTGCCGCCGCCCCCCTCCTCGTTGGTGGGTCGGGCGCGGGAGCGTTGGCGGATCCGTCGGGCGGCGCGGACCTTGTCTCAGCATGCGGTTGTCGCTCTCAACTGGCTGACGCTGGGACATCCTAGCTTCGCTCCTCCCGAAGCTCAGGTCCGCGAAATGGTTACCCCTTGCCAGGGGGGGATTCGCGAGCGTCTGGAACGCTTGTGCAGGATTGCAGTTCGCCTTGCCCGTGGTGGCCAGAGCGACCTTGGTCGGGCTTTCTCCAAGTTGGACTCCACTGAGGTCTCGCTCCGTGGTCTGGCAACCCACGTTGCAGCTTTAGAGGCCTCCTTCACCTCTTCCTCGCAGGTGCCCGCCCCCATGCGGACCCTGCCCGTCAGCGCGACTCCCTTGGTCGATTCGCTGGCTGCCGCGGCGGGCTGGGGCTCCACTCAGGCCGAGCCCTTCGACCTTCGGGTCCGGGCGGACCGCATCAAGTGGGATTATTCACCCTCGTTTGATCCCACCCCGTTTCTTGCCGACCCTGTGGTCCGCTCTGCCTTTCACGATCCCGAGATCATGCGTCGGCCTCCAGAGGCCTGGCCCGACGGGATGCCACCCGCTCGGGTGCATATGGACAGGTCGGAGCTCTGGGCCCTCCTGGAGAAATGGGACTCTTGTGGAGCTCTATATCTCACCCCCACCTCGGACCTTGTCTGGGACGAGGCCTGCGGGGCTTTTCGAGTTCCTAAAGACGAGCATCACGATCGGCTGATCTTGAACCCCACTGTGGTCAACAGTCGATGTCAGAGCATCTCGTCCAGCACTCAGCGGCTGGGTCAAGGATTTCTGCTCTGTCGCCTTGGGTTGGCCCCAGGCGAGCGGCTCGCTGTGTCATGCGATGACCTTCGTGAATTCTATTACACGTTCCGGGTACCGCATGCCCGGGCCAGGCGGAACGCACTGCGAGTGCGTCTCCCGAGCAGTCGCTTTCGGACCTTTCGGGCCTGGCGCCCCGAGCTCCAGGGGCTCGATGCCAGCCCTTGCCTCAACGCCCTCGCTATGGGCGACAACATGGCGGTTGAGATTGCGAACTCCGCCCATGAGGGCGTTCTGCGGAGCTTCGGAGCGCTCCGCGCGCACGAGCAGGCGATCCACAGACAACCTTTTCCGCGTGGGCCATATGTGGAGATGCTTAACATAGATGAT